TTCCTTCGATCTGAAGATGAAAATAAATAATGCAACGATGATCAGGATAGCTGATTACCACTGTCCCGAGTCTTTTTCAGATTTCCAAATCTCTAGATTTGGAGATAGCATGGTCTGTGGAGAACGTCTCTAGCTTCCGGATGATAAGAGATGGAAATCTGGGATTTGTGGAGCATTGTAGATCAACATCCAGGGTCTCCAGTTCACTATTTGGAATCGAAAATCTAAAACTTCTACAATGGTGAGAAAAATGGAACTGGATCAATTTTTGCTAATAATTTTTGTATTAATTATTTCTACCCTATCGTCTAGGATTTTAAAATTTAATGGCGTCAAATAGCTGTGATATCAAAGTTCATATTGCGCTATTTAAATACTGAATAATTTAACCTTCGTTTTTTCATAAATGTCCACATCAATGCTCACTGTATTCCATTGATTCTTCAGTTATTGAATGATAGATATTCAATTTGTCATCTCAATATCTAACTGAAAAATGTTGGTATGACGTTTGACTACTTTCATTGCAAACGTTTGTTCTATTCATTTTAGGAGCCAATTCTGAATATTGATAAGATTCCTCATGCACGATGGTCACTGAGATGTTGTGTTTGTAATACGACCGATGGTGCCTGTATTCAGTGTGCTTATGGAAAATGTCGCGTACCATTTCATGTAACGTGCGCTGTTGCAGCTGGTTTCTGTCTTGATTTTCGTCAATCATCTTCAAATGATGGTGGTTCACAATTTGATGCATATTGTTCAAAACATTCTGATATTGTTCGTAAAGAGACAGGTGATCTATCATCCTCACCATCTAAGATTCCTTACTCAATTTATCGACGAGAATCATTAAAACCAACGTGGAAAAATGAAATATTATCAACATTTGATAATTATATTGACCGTAAACATCTACATCAAGAATTAGAATATGAAGTGACTGTATCGACAATGATCTATGATTATTGGGTTAAAAAACGAAAATATATGAATAATAATTTACCATTAGTTAAGCGTATTGACTATGTACTTGAACAACGAGAAAATTCTGAACTATTATTAGGACAAATATCAAATTGTTTAAAAATATTAATGAAAATGAAAGACGTATGTATTTACTTATTACTATAATTTATTTATCTGGAATATTTGTCTACCTCTTTAGCTTGAAAAATGCAGTGCAATTGTACAACAGCAAAATGACTTAATTTCATTATCATTATCTGAACGATTAAAGCGTATAAAAGAAAAATTAAATATTCATTCTCCTATTCCTTCCGGAACTCAGTCTCCCTCTAGTTCATCGTCATCAATATCTCACAGTTATAAACAACGTATTTCTCTTATACGTCGACCTCAACAACAAATAAAAATAGCAGCAAAACGTCGACTATTATCATCATCTTCATTAATAAAGAAAGATGAACAATCACAAGATCAATCAACAAAACATGATACAACGAATAAAATAAATCGAAAAAAACATCGACCAACCATATATTATTCATTAAAACAAAAACAATTGTACGCAAATATGAAATCATGTTATGTTGGATTGGAAAATACATTTACTGATATTGAACCATATACGACATATCTGGTGGCTCGAACAATGGACAATAAAGATCAGACAATATTGTTACCAAAAAATTTAGTTGCTACAAACATAATTAATATAACAGAAGACGATATGATAATGGCAACGGAGCAAACACATTCACAGTCACAATCACAAAGACAAACACCAACTTCACCACCCCCGCCACAACCAGTTTATTCAGATGTTTCCGATGATTCTGGCGATGATGATGTTGAATCAGCAACAAAACTATCTTCATCTTTAAATAAGACAACTGTTTCACGTGGTCAACAATACGTAAATAGTGGAAATGTTGTCTATTGTTCCACCGGTGGATTTTAGCAAAAATATTCATTTTAAAATTTTTTAATATTTTTTGCTATTCTATCGTTAAATTTGTTTGTTTTTTTGTAATTATACACTTTTGTTATTCATTCGTATGTTTTTGTTTTTTTGTTGTAAATAATGATGAATTATACTATGAAATAGATGAATGAAAGGTGGAGTTTGATGATAATTTTTGTTTGTTTTTGAAAATAACGGGTGGGAGACTTGTAGATAACTTTTTAAACTGAATTGATCTTTTATTACCCAACCTTTTCGAATAATTTGATTTGATTTGAGCAAGTTCTAATTTGACATATATATATATATATAAAGATGTTCGAAAGTATGTCTTGATTGTGGAAGAAGAACATTTTGATAGATGACACTCAAAATATTCGGTACAAGGAGAAAAATTATGGACTCTTTTTTGCTTAAATTGATACTATTTCCAAATATATTATACGACAAACTGTTTGTCTTTTGGAGGTTATCTACATACAATAATATCTTACTTTTGTCGTTTTGGAAATAGAAAATTTAGATGTCTCATTTGAAGCGAGTCTGTACTATAGTCTGTAAAGAATTTTGTAAGCTTTCGAATGATATATCATAAAGGTCTAAAATACTCCTTTCTCACTAGAAAAGATTCAAGTTCAAGTTCAAGTTCAAGTTCAAATTTATTTTCCATAAGCAAGAACATCACAAAAGAAAGTAAACGTTTAGTAACTTATAACATCCGATAAACAGAAGCCTTAGTGAGATACCTGTATAACTAAAAACAGTAATAATAGAGAAATTTACCATACAAAGTTGTTTCGGAAAACCTTTAGTGCATTCGGTATATTAATAGCAATAAATCTACTTAGAATTACAACAAATTCACGGTCGAATAGATTATAGTGTCTTCATTCAGAATATGTATCGTTTTACAGCAACAAATAAATGCACAGCGTTTTCTCTCCGATCGTTTTTCATTCGAAACTATCCGTATTTTTCAAAATTTTTTCGACTTCTGATATATGCAAAAAATTAGTAACGGAAATATTCAAAAAATCAGGTTCTGTCGGCTCTATCGCATTTATAAGGTTCATTTCGAAATGAATTCGAGCTCAGCCTCATCTAATCGAGTGGGACTTAGATAGGGTTCTACCAGGAAGATTTTAGTGGTAAGCAATATTTTGACTCTGAGTGCAGATAGAAACAGTATTAACCAAACCGAATCATCTATCACTACTATTAACCTAGCACCTGTGTTAGATATTAACTTGTCATTAAGTACACGTCTATTTCTTAACAGTAACAGAAACACTATGAAGAATCCAAGGTGGGAGTAACATTTATTTGAGAGTTTGTGACGTTTTTTTCCTTGACAGTTTTTCAAAATAGAAGTAACTTTTTCACAAAATCGGAATAAATTACCCCCTCCTCTCACATCAATGTAAATCTTAAAAAGTAGATGAGAGTCTGTTCGTCTCATTCAGCCCATCATCACATCCTTGAGTTGATGCATTCTTTTTTATAAAAGTGATGAATTAATTTCCTCTCGTTTAGCTGCATGTCTTCATTTTGTGCTATTGATTTCGACATCATTCATCATTGATTACATTATATACTACTGTCAACAGAATTAAACGTTTATCCTAGACCAGTAGATAGAAAAAACAATTTCGTAAGATATCGTCTATTTGACAAGAATAAACCTTCGCTGTGTAATTAGAATTTATTGAATTTTTGAAATTAAAAAAGAAACACGGAAAATGAATCAACATGTTGTTCTGAGGTATACATTTTTTACTTAAAGAAAAATTGAGTAAAATGGGATTAACGAGTCCATTCAGGATATTGAATATAACCGGAATTGAAAATAATATAGAATCTGGTTCTCGATACTGTTTCGTGCGATTCCTTTTGTCTGTATTATCAGAAAAAACAACAACGGAAAATTACGATTTAAGTAGAGTCAGATTGATCCAAAAAATCCGTCATTGGTATTAACATTTTTTGATGAAAAGTAAATCTATTATTTGTTTTATTGAAAACAAGAAAGACATCTTCACATGAATATTTCATAATCTGATCAGTATTTTATGTTTAAAACTTCTTTTTTACACACACACACACACACACACACACACACACACACACACACACACACACACACACACACACACACACACACACATATCACACTTGCAAGAAAGTAAATTAAAATGAGATGGAAGATGCATGCGAACGTGGCTTCAATATGATGCAGAAAATCTTCGTTCTTATTATATATATATATATTTTTTTATATAAAATATATTGATTTTCATATGTCGTCAGTAGTCGTGGAAAAGTACTGAAAAAATAAAAAATAAAAAAAAACGTAGTCCGTAGAACGAATAGAAAAAGAAGTTGCGTGCGGTAGATTAAGTCAAGTTTGATCGTAACAGTGACTATATAACTCAAATATAGAATGTAAAAAAGAAAAAAAAAAAGTTCCACAGAAAGAAAAAGAAAATAAATTACAGAAACAAAAAAAAGAAAAAAAAGTGTTAATACAAATGATATTCGAACTTTTTATTATTATTATTAATATTGTAGATAGAACGTCGTTATTCAATGCTTACCGTATTTCGGATAACCCTAATAATTTCTCTCATTTGTAGTAAGTTAGAATGGTTAATATATTGAAATTTAAAAAAAAAAATAAGTAAAATTAATATGATTTTAATTTTTTTAGCTTGTAAAAGTACTCAAAAACAACAACAACAACAACAATTAAATTTATTTGATCCGGTGTTAAATTCAGATATTTATGTTGGACAAATTAGTGAAAATGACAATGTTGTTACACTAAAACCAAAATTATTAGCAAAAGATAGTGATAGACGAAATTCCATGAATAGTATGTTTAAACATATGTTGTTATTTCATTTTTCTTTTTATATTCTATATTATATATTTTTTTTTTCTAGGTCAAATATGTGGCTATGAATTATCTACACATAATCATAATGATTCGGATATTGATCAAACAAACATTCCATTTCAAATTGAGCTAATTAAGCCGTCAGGTGAAGGATATATTACACTTAAAAATTTATTCAAAATTGATTGTGAAATCAAACAACAGTATAAATTATTTGTTAGAGCATATGATTGTGGTGTACAACTTAGACGTTATTCAAAAAGGTAAGAAATATATTTTATCAATTGAAAAGGTAAATATTTTTGTCTCAATTCATTTGAGTCGAAGAAAGAAGATTAGATATATTTGACAGCATGTGGTTTTTTTTTTCTCTCTCAAAAACCATAATTTTATTTGTCTACTCTGTTTTTATTCTCTTAAGGATTATATATATTCTTCTCATATAGCCTTCATAGTTTCGTTTATATTTTCCAATGAGCGAACAAATTTATAGCTTTTGTCGAGTAGACTAATTCTGTTGACAAATTCTGTTGTTCATTTTTTGAAAAAACAAGTTGAATGACAGTTATTTTCATGCTTGATGAGCATACAAAAATTGTTATTGATTATGATAAGAAAAGAAGAAAATGAAAGAAAGAAAAGGTTTTTTATGAAAATATTCTTACGTTTTTTTTTCTTCAATCTCATGATAATCATTGATTCATTAATCATTCCTTTAAATATATATAATGTAATGTGTGATATTTTAATTACATAGTCGTTCTTTCTATTTTACTACGTTTTCTGTAGTTAGAGAGAGAGAGAGAGAGAGAGAGAAAATGAATGTTTTTTCTTTTTTTCTTCCGGCTTTGAAATTAGGGTATATAAATCACTTGAGAATTAAAAAAAAAGAATAGAAGAAGAGCAAAGGCATAAAATGTTTTTATTTTTTTTTTATTATTCATGTTCGGTGAACGTGGGCTCACAGCCAAAAAACAAGACAAAATTGAAAACGTTTATTTTTGAAGAATATTCTATAATCTTTAAACATAACCAAACCTATATTTTGTATAATAAATAATAACGGCAATGTCTAGAATTTATTTATCTTTCAATTCTATGCATGTCAAACATTCGAGGATTAAACTGATAAACATATATAGAAAAAGAATTAAATACATATGTAAGAAACTGAATAGTTTCGATGTTCTTAGAGAAAAACAGAAATTACAGAAAATTTATGTTTGATTTAGTTGAAGTAAGACAGATAGACATCAGTATTAATAAAATTCAATGTTTGTTTATCCATCGGTCTCATATAGACATCGAATGTTATGAGTTTTAAATTCGTTAAACTGTATTTCAATTGCTAGTCGTTGTTAAAGTGAGGAAGACCTGTTTCATGTTAAAAGTTTGTTGATTTAGAAGCCAAATAGATCAAAGAGATATTTGACAATAAAATTTATTGATTGTTCTATAATCTTACCTTGACAATTCGTTGCATTTTTTTAAGATTAGAATCAATTATCATAATCGAATGAAGAACAAGATTTTTATTAATTTTCATTTTGTTCTATGAATAAATCATTTGTCTTTTTCTAACGATATGTTTCTGATGATTGGACGATTGGAATAGTCTGATTCCTGCTGAGCAATATTGCAGTTGTCTTTGTTGTCTTTTTTCCTTCCAATGCAATACGAAAACAATAAAGCCTAGAATGAAGCTTTTCATTTTTACTTGTGTTTCTATCGAATAAATTTAATAATATCAACTTCTCTCATGTATCAACAATGTAGATTTCAATAGAGGTGGATCCAGAAATTTATTGTCACGACATACAGTGACTCCTTAAGAAAATTTTTATTAGTCAAGTCTGCTGGCAAAAATCAATTTTTTATCTTTAGAGGTAGACGCAACAGTAAACGAGTCATATATTCTGTGTTTCTTGGGCGAAGTCAGTTTATAATAAAATTTGAGCGAACAATGGTACAGTAGGGAGTGATAAATTAGAACGGCAGCATTCTATCAGATACAGTCGTGCAATAAACTAACAGTTCATACCGCACAGTAGTTAACTCTACCATTATTTAATAGGCTTGTACAGATATGTCTAGACGTACCGACTTTCAATGAACGTTTTTCTGGCCGATTCAAACTTTTTCATGGGCACGTCGTTCTGTATTCTCTCGAGAGCAAAATGCTTTTCGAATTAAAAAAAAAGAGAAGAAATGAAATATTCATAACCATATAAAATATTTAAGTTAATTTGGTCGATAAATAAATATCAAGCGTTTTTACACGACCAATTCTTTTCAGATTTTATTTATGCTGTTCTTAATTCAATATTATTACTATGAAATAGACATTCACTCAAGTTTACAAATGAGTCTGTGAATAAAACAGCTTTTTAGTGTAGTTCTAACGGCGATTTGAGTACGGTTAGTTGCTAGTAAAATGCGTGAATTTCAATTATTAACAGACCGATTATAACATAATCAAAAATTTTCTAGACCTAATAAAAGTTATCCCTTATTAATCAGACTCTGAATGTTGGTAAAGAGGAATATATATTTTGTATACACCAAAATTTGATGTGATTTTGATATGAAATTGTGCGTTATCTCCCATATGGTGAGTCCAACGAACATAATGTGCGATTATCATCTTGTCCTTGTGATACTACAAAAAAACTATGTATACTGCTGTTATTTTTATATCTTTCGGTAATTCTATACTTGTATGATAATTACTACGCTATTTATTTGGTTAACTATGTATCACTCGCTACAGTGGGTAAAATGTTAACGTCATTGGCTAAAACTAGTTGTGTTTCCATGCTGAAATATTTGTAATCACGTTAAACGCATGTTTAGATTGATTGAAATAATTCGCGAAAAAATTATAGAAATAAATAGATCAGAATTGAAGATTTGTAGAAAATTGTTTTAAATATTAAATAAGCAATCAGAAATAATAAAGAACAATTGCACATTGAAAGTGAAAACACTTTATGTTAAAGAATAGTTTAATGATTTTTTAAGATTAAAATGCAAGGATGAATAAAAAACAACAACAATAATAATATGAAAGTTAATATTCAATTTAAAAATAAATAAATATCAAATAAGATTCATAATCGTATTAAAAGAGAAAAAGTAGACTATATCGACAAACAAAAAGACTCTGTTCTTAAGAGAATATGAAACTGAGCCAAACAAGAGAAATCAGTAGTAATGAGAAAGGGGAATAAATCAACTTTTTGAAGCTTATAAAAAAATGCTCAAGGGGAAAACCATATCCCATATCCTTCTTTAGTTATAGTGTGAGAATCTTATAAGAGAAATGTAAGGTCTAAAGATGTAGTACGAGTTCAGAATTTACAATCAAAAAATACTAAAAAATCCAGGCTAAATGCATGGCAAACTGTCAATATGAAGAATGAAGTAGGACTGTGTTTTAAATATGAAAGAAAAAAAGTATAAGATCACTTTAACAAAAAGCATCTATTGTATAAGCACAATAAATATTTTTTTGAATAAAAACTAAACAAATTATATATTTTATAGCTGTTTTATTCCTTCTTCTTTTATATACCAATATGAAGTTTAGAATAACACAAAAAGGCTAATCAATCAGATCTTTAAATTTAAGACTGGATAAAATATTAGATGCTTGAAAAGTATTTTACTAACACTACTAGAATACACTGAAACGCGCACTCTCTATATACTCTGCCGCTAAACTGAATCACTCAAAAAGAGAATATCTAGGAGAAAACTGTTTTCTTTTGTCACTTCATTGCGATGTATTATGATCTTTCGAGATATAGATTGGTACTACTCACTGATTAAATACATGAAATCGATTCGCATTATGACATTTAAATAGGCATATGAAATAAAAAAATTTGATATTTAATTCAATAATTCACACAAGAAGGCGATAAAACTGAGATATAAAATGAACAATAACTCATTGTTTATTATTTCCATTTATAAGTTGAGATATTCTTCTAATATTTTTGTTCAAATTATTCGATAATGGTAGTAGTATTCAGTGAAAGTAAAAATTGCAAAATTTTAGAGAGAGTTTTTCTGTAAATATTAGTAGTAGAGTAGCTACTACCATAGACACTAAGCTATCTTATGACGTATTCCAGATAAGATCATATCTTCTTTTTCTCACTCCTTTGTTTTCACTAGAAAAGTAGATGAAGAATGATTAAAATTCAAGTTTGATGATTCGATGTCATTAGACTATTTTTATTGAAAACAATTCGACTAAAGAAATTTTCAAGGTACCTTTTTTATATTGTATTATCTATTGTTTTCTAGAGTACCAATTGTCATCAATGTTGATGATGTCAATGAATATTTGCCGACATTTACACGCGATAGTTATCAGTTTAAATTAAATGAAGGTGAAACATGTATTGGTGATTTATGCAAGGTAAGTCAATTATTTGCTGTAATTCTGTACGTAAACTCAAGGTTTCATACATTCCTAAATTTTAAAAATATTTAATTTTGACTCTTAATCTATCATCAACATTGAGGAATCTATTAACACTAGTTTTTTGTACCATTTTTGAGCAATAATTGATATATAATTGATTTTGTTGAGATCGATCGATTGCCACTTTCAACAATTTGTTTTTTCATTATCTATCTTAGTGCAATGATCTTAATTGTTAGTGATATTCATTTTTAACAGAAAAATGAAAATTTTTTTGACTTTTCATCAGAATTATCGCTCTCAGTTTCCATCTCAAAAGGTGTTCTGTCGATCCTTTCCTTTTGACCCAGTAGATAAAAAAATCGTAATTGTGCTACTGATTCAAGCAGCGCATAATAATTTTTTGTTTTCTTGTTGATCACTCTCCAAAAGATCACTCTCACTTTTCGTTAAAATTTGTTAATTTCTCCCATGCCAAAAAATAATCGGAATTCCGTGATAAATTTGATATTTTTCTTAATTTTAAAAATGATCGGTTCATGAACATCTAGTACGAATGTAAATATTTCTTATTAGTTTCAAGTTCTATTTTATTCTTTAAATTCGATGAATTTCATTCAAAATTGATTCTTACCTGTTGTTATACAACTTTTTCAACCACAAGTCCCTATGTTGACATATTGTATAACTTGATACGTGATAATATTAATATTGTCTATGTTTTATTTAGCAAAAATCATTGTTGGTTACGAAATTAATCATTCATTTTTAAAATAAACGAACTAAATTTTCTTCGAAAAAGATTTTGTTCACTTTTGTTCAGAAGATTTTCACACAACTTTTTCTCTATGCTTCTTAGATAATGAAAATTTAAATTAAAGTTAATATAGCAACAGAATTTAAAACACATTTCATTATCGTTCTACCATGTAAAGTAGCTAGTGGTCTGCCATATTATATTGTTAACTGACATGTTAATATTAAAAAAATATCAATTTATGTTATTCGTTATTAAAAACATAAATATTTTTTCATATTTATTAGCTATACGTTATTTATTGAATGTTCATAACCTTTGAGACTATAGAAAGATGTTAAGATGAAAAAGTTTTTAATGTAAATGGAATAGTCAAATAATAACACTTGAATTGAGACATTTCATTGGTTATTCTAACTCGACATTATAGACGACAAAGAACAATAAATTTAACAATGGTGAGATGTAAAACAGTAGTTAGATCAGCATCTTTTACTGCTAAAGATTCAAAAAAATCTATCTATAATTATGATTTTTATGGCCATAGTGACTATGACATTGAAAGAACATAGAAAAAGAGTAGTGGAACACAATTATTACGAATGACTAAACAATTGCGGATGAATATTTTGGCAACGTAAATTAAATATGTTAAAAAACCAGCCTACTATTAAACTTTTATTCAATTTTTATTTAACTGGAATCCAAGGTTATTACAGACTGAAATGAGACAGAGCGCTATGTTATAAAATAAATCAGTTTAAAGTATTATCTAAGCATTTTTTTAAGTATGAGATCGCTACTGTCTGATACATTCAGAATTAGTCTTACAGCTGGTTTCTCCACTAAACGAACCAAACCTAAATAAGTCTTCAACCACTCACTGTCCGACACACTATAATAATAATCAATTGCGGACAGGATAAATGACTTATCAATATCATGTCGTAATGAGACTGGTGCAGATCCAAAAGTTCTATATAGCGCTTCTAACGTTTATCAGCATCGAGTATGCTAATTCATGCACTATGTGTTTTTTTCATTTGAAATTGTATGATAAATAAACATCAAACACTTTTATTTTTCCATCCAATGGAAATAAGTTTCCATTTAGATATAGTTCTCTCCTCTTCGCAAATAGTTCATCTTTATAGAAGGGTATTTAGACACATTTTTTGATATTCGAACTCATCTAATATTGAATTCAGGGTGATTTGTATGTCATTCATAGTGTTAAAATCATAAGCGAGCGCATAATAAAAATATTGTCTACAAAAAGAAATGTTCTTATTGCAGATGGTAGAATCGATGGTAGATGTGATAGTATAGAGTATCAATTGTTGACCACTTGTATCTAATTGTTCTTAAATTAACGGAAGAGACATGTTTTGTTAATAATTTTTCCATATTTCATTTTTTTGGTCTAAATTCAATGATAATTTTTTCTATTTCTTTTATTTTTTAGGTTGAAGCAACAGACGACGATTGTTCAAGTCAATCTAAAGTATGTGGTTATAAAATCGTCACACAAAATGTTCCATTTTCAATTAATCAAAATGGATATATAAGTATAACGAAACAATTAACATCTGGTGATTATCAATTTGAAGTAATTGCTTTCGATTGTTTGGATAATAACAAACGAAGTGAACCGCCTGTTAAAGTTAATATTAAAATAGTTAAGTCATGTATACCAACATTAAGTGGTAAGAAGAAATGATAGTTTTTTGATTTTATTTCGATATTCTATCTAAATAAAATCTTATATTTATATTTATATAGATGAATCGATTGATCCACATATTGTTAAATCTGATCATGATCATGTACTTGAAAATGTTCATATTGACGTATGTCCTGATACATGTTTAGCTGTCGAAGATTTGGTTAGTAATCTTGAATTAGATTTGAAGGGATCTGAATCGGGATGTAAAATGGATCAATGTAGTAAGTTTACTATTTTTTGTTAATCAAAATGAGAAAAAAAACAAAAAACCGATCATTTGTTTCTTAGCATCATCAACAAAAGAAATTGAACTAATTAAAAAAGATACTGATTATTCACATGCACCTGTGGGACGTTCGATGAAATTTGACGGTTATACTCAAGCAATTCCAGTTGAAAAAATTAAATTTGATGGAGAATTTGGTCAAAATTTTACAATTAAAATGTGGATGAAACATCGTAAACCATTAGACGGTGGTGGTCATAAAGAACATGTGTTTTGTAAAAGTGATAGCAAAGGTATGACAATCGTAATTCAATATTTGATATAAATCATACTAATCCTCATCAACTTATCGTTTTAGAACAAAATCGACATCATACAGGATTATTAATACAAAATGATCATTTAAAACTATTAATTCGTAAAGAATCATCAGTCAATGACATGAATGTTTATCCATCTGAATGGATTTGGACATTATCTCAGATAAATGATGATCAATGGCATTTTTATGAATTAATTGTTCATTATCCAACATTGGTAAAAGGAAAAAAATATTTTAAGCTCATTTATAACATATTATCTAACATCATTTTTCTTTATAACATAGATTGAACTATATGTTGATAAACAATTATTTGTTAATAAAGAAAATTTTAGAATTGTTAATGATCATCCTTTAAAAACTATAGATGATCCTGATCCAACAGCTTTTACTATTGGTGCATGTTGGCATCCTCGAGCATCACGTATGGTAGACCATTTTAGTGGACAATTATCGGGTCTTGTTATTGAACAAAAAGAGGAAGAACAACGTGCAAGTGGATGTGTTCGAGAATGTGATCAACATATTGAAATAGCCGATATCAAGTCAAAAATAGGAACTATTGTATGTATTATACTTATCATTATTCAAGAAATTGCTTATCTCATATCTACTTTCAATTGATTTTCATTATTATTATTATTATTATTTTTTCTATTTTGATAGGAATTTATTAGTAATGAAAATCAATCTGTTTGGATATTACGTACAGATTCAGCAGAATCACTTGAAAATTTATTAAAACATGTTGTCTATCGTAATTATCCTATACCAATGATAGCCGGTGAACGTCAAATAATAGTGAAAACAAGTTTAAAATGTCTTGGTGATAATCATACAACAGAATTGAAACCATTTGTTAAACATTTAAGAATTGAATCAAAACCAACAAAAGTTGAATTAAAAGGAAATGTAAATTATTATATTGATGAAAAAACAATTAATAATGGATTATATATATTTCAAAATTTATCCATATTTACAGATGTCATTAAGCATATACAAGGTAGAATATAATTATAAAGATAATATTTTTATTTTATTTTATTTTCATTCTAGCTGATATTCAAGAATGTAGTATAAGTACACAACCTGAACTTTTATATGATTTTGAACAATTTGTTATACCAACTGAATATATAAAATCAAAAAAATTAAACATAGTATTAACACGAAACGGCATGATTTTATCCGGTAAGTATTTTTGACAATTAAACAAGTGAACAGTTATGATTAGAAATAAAATACGTTTTTTACTATTAGTACAATATAAGTTAATTGTTTAAATATATACGGTAAGAACTAGAGTTATGCTCAATGCTGCTACTGCTCAATTTAGATATCAGAGTTGTTTTGCTCTATTATTATTTTTAAATTAAATAACAAGAGAAAGAATATTTTTTATTAGTAAAGAAATATTAACATAGAATTTTTGACATACAGTTGATAGATTTCTAATTCAAAATTGTTTTCAAATCTTTATCATAGGAATTGTTTTATATATATATGTGTGTGTGTGTGTGTGTGTGTGTATGTGTGTGTGTTTATTAACATCGAAATAGAAATTTGATAAAAACTAGTATTCACGTGTTAGTCAACATAGCGCAACTATTAAAAAAATAATTTGATTCTTCTTTTATTAATCCATTAAATGTTTAGTGTAGATCTAAACAAGTGCTCATTTTTTATACCACAGTACTAATCGGTGATATGTGGACTTTTTCTCCCATCGATATAAAATAAGTCAACATTTTATTTCAAAACTTTTCTTTAGATATAAGTGAGCATTTTTGATTTTTAATACGGATGAAATGAGACTGAAGATTAGAAACTATCTACTGTTTTCATGGGATCTAAATCTTCTGTAGTGACCACACAGCGTCGTTTAGGCATGCAAAAGTTCAGCGTTCCTTTTTAGCGTTCTCTTTGAACGTAACGCTAAAGCACGTTGGCGTTTCTTGAACGTGAACGCGAATGTTCTGGTGAATATTAACGTTATTTTATATGAATGGTGTTGATCTTGTGTGGAATGAATAGTATTGCAAAACGTTATATAGCAATTTCACCTAGTAGTATACCAGGTGAAACAGCTTTCTCCATTACCAGTTATATTTAGTGAAAAATCAACGCTCGTTTGTCCCAAATGAGTTAGGATAACAAAGGAAAACGTATGTAGTTACTGAAATGGTTTGGATCAAGGAACTTCGGTTTCATTGTCGAAAAAACTAGTCTTCTGGTTAGGAAATCCGCGATCTGTTCTTGGAAGAATCTATGTCTTGATCAGAGAATCAAGGGCTATCCTTTTTACATTGTAATAATCTGGTCACTGCCCTGAGCAAGCCATCTGATCTTTCACTAGAGTTTCTATTGATCAGATAAGACCAAGTAGAAATATATATGTTCTTACTACAGTAAAAGAACAGAAGTTTATCTTTACTTCAGACGATATGAACACCGTTCGTATAAAAAAAGTTCGCGTCCATCAGTGCTTTAATGTTCACATTCAAGGAACGAAACGTGAACTTTTGCAGGCCTAGCGTAGTTTGAAAAAAAATGTTTCTGTCGAATTTAAATATCACTTTTTTCTTCGCAATTTTGAAGCCGTTCTTTTCTTACTAAAGCACATTAGAAGTCGTAAATTAGATCAATAATTTCGAATTTTTCCTTTCTATATCCAAAGCATCTAATTAGTCATCAGAAATGAAAGTTGATGAGAGACTCCTAGAAACCAGACTCCTAGAGATCCATAGAAAAAAGCCCTAAGGACAAAAAGTGGATATTAAATTCGTGATCAGTATCAAAAGTAACATTTTGATTCAAATATGCTTCAAGATGAAAATGATTGAACACTTGGATTGATTCGCTCGAAAGTCTTTCAATGTCACTAATATAGACATGGTAAACTAATAATACAATAGTATTGAACGATGCACTCACTGATTTCAACATGTTTAATTGATTTTCGTCGATTTGGTTTAGATTAATTATTGCTAAGATAGTAGTGAATAATAATTATAGGATGAATGATAGCGGAAGTTATTTTACTTTTTACAACTACACATAGGAGACATTTTTCTATTAGTAGACAGACATTAGAATTTTTCGCTTGAAAATCTTTTTTTCAGAATAATTATCATTGTCTAGTCATCTATGATGTTTCTAAAGAAGATCTAAACGATTTTAAAACAAAAAATCACTTTTTACGAAGAGTCAATCATGTAGATTCAAGGAAGAAAATGTCATCAGATATTTTTTCAATCCAAAACTTATTGTGTTAGACTTAGTTCGATGCACGAGATGATTCCAAATATCACATTGTTTTTTGCTTTAAAAGTTAAAAAAAGTAGAATTTTAAGTTAAAATCCATAGTTTTTATTAGCGAAGTTAGTTATTTCAATAACGAAACAAATATCCATCGATATGCTAATTTTATAGATGTATCATACACCGAAGAGGTTATGCGCAAAGTTTAAGTAAGATTGAAGCTGAGGAATAATGGGAAACGCATGGCACTGGCGTCTTTTTTAGTTAGAAAAATAATTTTTTTTCTAATTATTGCCACCAGAATTTTCCCGTCGTTCGAAAATGATTAAACAATTTTTTTCTAACATATGATTGTCTCCAATGTGAATTTTTTTATCTGCTGAAAAAATATGTGAAAAATAAAAACATTTTCGTTATTTTGCTAAATGTCCACCTTGACATTAACCACTGTACTCCATTCCTATATTAACTAATCTCAATTACTTTTAGGACCAAGTTCGATTGATACATATCAATATATATTACGACAAATTGAATATGTTGCAAGATCACCATTAAAATATAATGATCGTCTATTTTCATTGATGTGTGTCGGCGTAAATGGACAAATGCCAACAAACGAAGTTCGAGTTCGAGTATGTTGAAATACTTAATAATCATTCAAAATATTTCACAATCTTTTTAAAACATTATCATCTTCATTCAGCTTAGACATGACAATTTTTTTTTTCAGTAGTTTTATTGTCAAAAAACAGATCGATTTTTTTATATTATAGTCATTTTTATTTTTTAGGTTCACGTTAAACTAAATGCAGTAGTACAATCACGTGAATTTCCACAGGTATATGCAGCACTGTCAAATAAATTTGTTGTCGATAATAATGAAATTAAAAAGAATTCGCAACCATCAGGACTTAACGCTGAATTAATCGATGATGAAAAGAAGACTGATTCTAAAAGTGCTGCAAGTAAGTTTCTAACTATTTCTATACTTTGTATAATCATTATTTTACATAATGTTGAATCAAATTTTAAAATTTATTTACACTCACAGTTATCTTTAAACGTTCATCTTCTAATTTTAACTTCTATAACACAGTTTTGATTACAATAAAATTGTATTAGTAAGAAATCGTGAAAATTTAAAAAGAAATATAGTCCATAGTCACGTTGTTTGATGAAAAAAATCTCTAGTGAGGATGATTAAAAGTAAAAAATAAGTCAGAGTTAATCATGATATTACATAAAAGACACTTGACAAGAAAATCGTTAATTCCACTTCTTCATAATTTTAGTGTTGTTCATATTATCTAGATTAATATTTGTGTTTTGGTCTAAATATTCTTCTATATACATGTATGTGATGGATGTTATTATCTAAATAATATATTTTTTATATTCAGATGTTTTTGTGATAAATATGCTGTGTGCTATTTTTGTTTAAACATACAAAAAAAAACACCATAGAAATATCGATGATTATCACTCCCGAATACGGTACTGTAGGCATTATTTCTGTAAAACATAATTAACGATTTATTATGTAGAAAAAAAAAGAAGAAATATCTTAACTAGATGAATAATTTTGTATATGAATAACACAAAATTATCTGATCATAAATATATAGTACTTTGTCTCATATATAAGTGTGAATGATATTTAAGAACTGAAAAGACTAAACCAACTAATATGGAGTACATTGATCTTTTCAATTCTTTTGATTTATTTTATTTAGTTAATAATTCAAAGTTTATCTAGGATGATTGATCTTCTAATAAAAGTACTTAAAAATCCTTCAATATTAAAAAAAAAGAAGTTTTTTTGCTAAGATTCAATGCCCTTGGGAATATTTCTTTGCTTATCGTCTAATATGAATTATAAATAAATTGATATAATATTATCAAAATCACAAATCTTTTAAATGTATGCAATAGTCATTTCATTTTATTTTATTTTATTTTGTCTCAACTTCAAAAAGTTTAAAAAATAATCGTTATATCTATCATGGCTTTATTTTTCTGTATAATATTTTAGAATTTGATTAATAAATGGTTGTTCAATTACTCATTTATATCGTGTTAGTAATAATAATTTATAATTATAAATATCTATTGTTCTTGTTTTATGAAAGAAAAGTAATTGTAATAACCAAAAAAGACCATGTGTATTCAAGAACGTCCTATTTAATCATGCATTATAATCGATATTGACAACAAAATACTTTTTGAATCGAGGTTAAATCTATTCTACTTTTAACATACAAGAGAAGAATATACAATATATATATATTTTTATCTATATACGAACGTCTGACAAATAAGTCAAGGATACGTTAAGTGACATGATGCTCTGCGATATACTCTTTATTATGTTGAATGAAAACTAATATTACATAATTATACATTTTGAGATAACCATGTTTGGACATGAAATGTTGCCTGTCTTTTTATATACTGAAATGACAGGATAAAAAAAAAAGAAGTAGAAGAAGAAGGAAGAGATTTTCATGTTACAAATATAAATGTAACATATATATATATATATATTTCATAATTTTAAAATATCTGTAAAATAATGATACAATTTTTTTAGAATAACCTTGACATTATATTCTGTTTTAACTAAAGTGTTCACTTCACCTTTGTACTTCCTTTTAAAATACAATCAAATATAAATGTTCATTTAAACTAGTATTTATAGAAGATACATGGTAAACAAATCGTATATATAAAAAGTATACAATTTGTTGGTTGTTATAAAATGTAACAACATCTTGCGTCATATTTTGATAACATATTTGATTTAGTATAACAACGAAATGTTCCTTTTTTTCTTTTCTTTTTTTTCTTTTTTTTTTTGGAAATTAAATTAAATTTTAAACAAGAATTTGAAAAATATTTTTTTGAAACATAGAATTAAACCATCAATTGAACTATTTCTGAGAAAATATTGAATGATACATAGTATACTATTCAATTCGACTATATTTAAATTTTAAGTTTTATTTTGTTTCAATTTTAACAATTTATTCAAAATAATTCACCATTTATTGAGAGAAAAAGATATATATATATATATATTTTTTTTTTATTGAGAACGATACCTCTTCTATTGAAAAACATTAACATCTCTATTTAGTTTCCGTTATAATTTGACGACATATTTTCTCATGAGAAAGACGAAGAAAACAAGTTGACAATATTCTGACGAGGATAGTAGAACAACTAGAAGAGATTAGGAAGAACGTCAATGAATCATTTTTTGTATATTCTTATAGATCTATTTGTCGTCGTTTTTCTCTTTTTCCCGTTATTTATATGGATAGTCGTAATAAAAATAAGTCCGTTTTTTTTCTTTTCCATTCGCACTCTATATATTATGGATGATAATAAAAAAAAACCTAAAAAAAAAAAAAATGCTCCATTAAAAACTGATGGGAATACTATCCCACTCTTGTTTTCTCTGTACGAAAGCAAAAAATGTTACTACAACACATATTATCTGAATAATCTGTCTGTGATGTACGCGCATCATCTTTTTTTCTTCTTTTTCTTTTTCCCATTGCGTTGTTGCTCCTCTCACTCTGTATCATTATCGTTATTCAAAACAGAAGTCTTCTCTATTTAGTTACGTTTTTGACAAAAGAAAAAAGAGAGAGAGATTGAGAGAAAAAGAAGCATAGTCAATGCTCAATATGTTCATCACTACATCGAAGAATATTTGAACAGAAAAAAAGTTTTATTTCGATAAGAAAGAAGAAGAAAAAGAAATTATATCGTTCACCTTAACTTTTTTATTGCGCGAGATCTTTTTTCCTTTTATTATTGATAACTAATTTTAATGTTGTCTATTTTTTTGACCTTTAACAACTAAAACAGAATCATACAACATTTATGCATCTCAAAAACAGAAATCAGTGAAAAAGAAATATACAATGCTCTTTTCATCGGCATTAAGTACGTATATAATTGGCTTTTAACTTAAATTTTATAGTTTAATTAAAATAGTGTTTATGATTAATAGAACAAAATAAATTTACAGAGAAATTGAGTTCTCTAACATCATGAATATTAATCGTCATTACTTAGAATCATTTCTAATAGAAACATTTTGAAAACTACATTCTAAAAGAATAGATAGTTTATTAGAAATGTAAAAAATGTTTTTATTATTTCTAAAAGTCTACAATGTTTCACCTTTTGTCCATGGAATGTTGTATTTTGTACGTTCGAACAGTGTATATTAGTACAAAGGAACGTTACATAACCCCAAAGATCTCTGTCGGAGAAACCTGTTCTAAATATATCGATTAGCTCACATTAGATTGCGTAATACGTTAGTTTAGACAAGATTTTAACAGAAAATGTTTCATATGTTAGATTGAGTTGAAAAGAAAAAGTTATATTCTCCAAAACTCTAATAATTTATAAATTGTACATTTATGACTAGATCCATTGTGTTTAAGTAATAAAATTTGTCTTAATTTATATTATAATTTATCAGATTTCTTGTATTATTGAATAAGCAACACATTTTATTTAACAAACGATGAATGGGAATGATGAACAGAACAAACATTAAAACCATTTGTTTGTACATAACAAAAGTAAATGGACGTGATCTCTAATTTTTCTTTTTTTTCTTCTTTGTCAAATTTAAAGACCTATAAATGACTAACAAAAGTTTTCTCAATTATATTATTAAATATCTTCTTGCCATCTCCTCTACATGTGCATCCTGTCAGAGAGTATTTAGTAGGTCATTTTTCACAAGTACATCTATGGATACTTTATTTCCTTGAACAATAAACTTTGCCCTTGTTCATTTTGTATGATGTGAGTGTGAAAATGGACATAATGTCTTTTGAATAGTATTCATCCATTAAGGTGCTACTGTCACTTGTATATATATAAATATATATATATATATATAATATATTGTATTGAATCAAGGTTCTTTTGTTTCTTTTGATATACTAAAAGTTCTTATATTTTTTCTTTTTAATAGCCAACTCATTTTCTTTAGAGTCTTAATTTTATCTTGAAAATATTTTTTAAAAAACTATAGATCAAGAAGTCTATTTATCAAAATCGAATACCTCTTTTTTTTTATTATTACTGAATGATGATCTATAGTGTCACGTCGATGATGATGATGGTGATGGTGATGATATTCATTGTGTGAATAATGTCATCATCATTATGATAATAATAGTGTTCTGTATTTGTAGTTATTTATCTCTCTATTTGTCACGTATCATTTGAATTATATTCGTTTAAAAAAACTCAATCGTTTTTGATCCGTATAATGACCTTTTTTTTATTTCCTAGCAGTTTGTTCTATTAGTTATTTCTTTATATTTATGATGTTACATATAATTAACATTGATGTATACAATACATCCTTCGATTATATTTGCTACTGCCCTTGGTTAATATACATTGTAATCTAAGAAACAGTTGTTGCAATCTTCTTCTTCATCCTGTTGTTGTTATTATTAAGTAGCATAACAAAGATGCTTTTAAGTTGTTGATAATTGGAAGAAAGTGGTTTACCAGGCATCAAAAGATTATAAGAACAAATATTAATTTGATCTGTCATGTCTTTTCTGTGAATTGAAAACTATGTTTAAAAAAAAGAAAACGTTGTAAAATACCGTATACTCTTTTTACCATATCTTATTTACTCACTACTTTACGTCGTATAATTCTGATAAGATGAACGATTGTAACATGTGTTTATCAGTTATCATTTATTTTCTTGCAATCCATTATTATTTTTTGCTTGTTACAACTACATGTTCTTTGTGTTCGATATTGTGAAAATGCAGTTTCTTCATAACAAAAATAACAACAATACATCATTAAGTGTCCTGTTGTGCTAAGCTTTCAATGTTCTATCTCTATATCAAAATTGAATTCTTTAGCATTTACTCTCTTTCGAATGTTTTTAATTAATTTAATGGATAATGTGTAATATTTTTACATGATTTTGTTATGTCACGAATAATTTGAATATGCAATAGATGAAGATTATGGCAATAAATAAATACATGAATAAATTTAAAAGTTAATATTATATCATATCTTCATATAGTTTAACACTCATTTACTATTTTTTTTATTAATGGAGTGTTCCAACAGTTTTGTTACCTCATTATCTGTTGAACAGTTTTGTACTGTTGTATCATTTCTTCATGTATAATAAAAGCATGAACAGTTGAATATTGATGGTACATTGTGGCCAGACAGTGTTGATAAATAATGAATATATACACATACACATATTTCATCGTTTTGCACACACACACACACACACACACACATACACAACAACGAACGACAGTTGTTAATCAAACACTACTATTTTTCATGCTTTTATATATAAAGAATAAATCTTCTTCTTGTGTATAACCTCACAGGCATCTAACTGTGAATATATTTTTTCATATAAACAAATATTTAATTGTCTTGTCTCTAAGCATGAAATTTTAATTAATAAAAAATATTTATTCACGTTCACATTTAATAATCATTTTTTTTTTATAGTTTTACTACAGAGAATTGACCATAAGAGGAACTGAAAAATGAACAGATTGATATGTTTCAAGATATTTTAGTTTCACTGCTGTATATATATTTCTTTTCAAACAAATTCATTGCAGCTCCTCTAATCTAGAAATATCTTTACTGTAATACATTCGATAAGTACAAAATTTTCATAGAATGTTAATCATGATAAAGTATGACCGTGATAAAAAATTTATCATTATATCTTCAGTAAATCTATATACAGAATACGTCATTTTTATGTAAAGATTATACAGAACTTAATTGACTTGACAAAACTCAAGCGTCTAGACTTTGAAAATAATTTTCTTATAATCTTCAAGAAATCAATTGTTTTAAAGAGAAATTTGTTTAGAGAAAATGAGAGAATTTTCTGAATATCTGGTGTCTTGTTAAAAAAAAATAAATTTATCGTTGTTGTTTTTCTGGTGTCCTAAGTATTCAATGTACTCGTCTGATTATGTTATGAACGTTCTGAGTAATTTGGTTGAAGTCTGACTCAGTAGTCTGGTCTTCTCACAGCTGAAATCACTATTTTTTATTCTTCATATCTTCAAGTTAGGTTTACATGATTATATCGAAGACATTTTATTCTATACTTCATGTATTGATCATATTTGAAACATATCGTAAATCATCCTAGTTTTCTAATGTTTTTTTCTGAAAAATCGTCTTTTTACAATAGTTGTTAAACTTATTTTTCTACAGAAAGATACATCATCTACAAAATCGCGAAAATCATAGGCCTCTAGTTATCGTCTATAAACAGTTATTGAAGAACATCTATCGAAGAAAACTGGTTTTCAGAAAACTCTGAAAATCTTTGATACTAGCGTGTCGTTTATGTTTTTTTAAAGTACACATTATAGATGACTTGAATATGCATTTATCTCAAAATTGTAGTTTTAGAAAAAATTGACTTTTCTCAGAGAGAAGTCTTTATCACATTCCGATACATAAATATTAATTAAGGGTCTCCTGCTCAGAAACCTATTATCGATAGGATCTTTTCGATCTTAATGGAGTTTTCAGTGAATGTTAGTATTATCGAGGTACGTTCATAGTAAAAATTCCATTACGTCCAAAATAGTAGAAATTCATATTCTATCGATTTGAGTACTCAAAACTTTGAAGTATAACATTTCTAAGTACGAATATGTAAATTATCTAATTTTTTACTCTAATAAAGTGACAGTGTTGAAGTAATTTTCATCACCATAATGTTATTTAATGAATATATTATTTCTTTGTTTCAGGTTTGCCAATTGCAATCGTGGTTTTAGTTTGCTTTGGATCTGCGGGTGTTCTTATTGCTTTTCTTGTTCTACGCGTACGATCGAACAGCAAACAACGTACCTCCGGAGATGATCATTCCCAAATGGAATGGGATGATACAGAATTAAATATAACTGTCAACCCGTTAGATGAAACAAAGGTCAGTACTAATCAAATTTTCTCGCTTTTTTAGGTTATCGATCATTACTTTTAATTAAAGATACTACTTCGACTTATGAGAAAATCTTTCACTGGTACGCTCTTCCTCGGTTTTTAACTGAATTATTCTAGTTAAAATAAAAGCTAAAAAGTTCAGATTAGGCGCCGTACACACCATAAGTGGAAGAAAAATGTGTTTTGGACTTTTGAAACTTTCGTACGTTTTATAAGAGGTGATTGTCCGGCACCATTTGTTCTTGAGAGGAAATATAGTTCTCTCTCTCTCTTTTCCGTTTTCTTCAAGTCTATGTGATTGATATTAAACATGAGTCATTGTTATTTCTGATCTCTACGTGCACTGAGGTAGAAACTAGTTACAAAACAATAGCTAGAATGCCGTGTCTGTCGGCATCGCAACTTGTGCGTAGCGTAATTGCAATCGAGTTTATCGTTTTAGAAAGTCGTACCGTCATCTTCAAATGATATTGACCATCATGCTAATCGACTCGATTCATCGGCATCCAGTACAGATGATGAATCAAATGAGTATGAATCGGATGAAGCACCCGAGAAAGTGGTTGATCGCGAATTAGAATGGGATGATTCGGCCGTTGAATATGGTCCGAAAAAAGTTTAAATGGATACAAATAAAAGCGATAATATTTTCTGTCGTCGTTACACCATCCATTTTTTTCTTTCTGTGTTGTTTGTTCGTTTTATTGTTTTAATATGAAAAGAACAACAAGATATTGAACGGAAACATATGTGATGGTTTAAAGAATACTCGTTTTAGTTTTTCTTTTTTTTGTTCATTGTATTATTCAATGCTTATTTCTGTCTCTTTCTGTAAGATGACCTTGTTTATACTTAACGAGTTAAAATAAATAAATATGACTGATTATATCTGTATACGACAAATCGTAAGTTTGGATTGTATTCTAGAAGAAGTTAACCGGTTTTTTTGTAATTTTTAGTTTTCTTTTCTCATTTACGTGTGTGTGGGTGTGGGTGTGTAATGAGCAGTATTTTTCATTGTACAAATTCTAATTAATAATCTTTCTCTTTCTCATTTGTCCGTTGTCTCTTATTTCTCTCTATAGTTGTTGTCATCATCATCTTCTTTTTTTTTTTCGCCAGAAATGTCTATCGAAAATAAATAATCCAATAACAGCATTAAATACTCATTTTTAATAATCAATGATTAAAATTTAAAATTATAGCATACAAAAAATGAGAAAGTACAAGTTTTGTTTTATACACAGTTAGTATGACTTTCGTATTTGATAATAGAATAAAAAAATTCTTATTTTTATTAGTATTTCCATCTTTTTACTACGTTTTTAACAAAAGAAAAATATTACAAATGTATTAACGATAACGAAAGATCGTTGCTATTTTTTATTATTAATTCAAAAAACAAAAAAATTTAAAAATGTAACACTTTTTTTAAAGCGTTCCAAGCTCTCATATGAGATTCTTCACAAAATTATTAAAACAATCGTTTTGTTTGTAACTGTGTAGTTGATTCTTTTATATTTCATCGTTCATATGTCAAACAATTTGTCTCATCAATATTAACTATCAAAAAAAAAAAATATTTTCATATTCTGATCTGTTTAGAATGTGAAGAAACATGTACACGAACAGCTCAGCACAGATATTATAACAGGTATTTATTTTACATAGCGATCTCTAATCGTTTATGATGAGAAACAAAACAATTTTATCTTAATGATATCAAGTAATGTGGCACTCTCTCACATAAACAATGAAACGCATGAGAATTAGCTGAACAACTGAAAATAAAAACAAAATATCTATCATTTTCTGTTTCCTTTTGACAAGCTAATATGAGAGCTCACAACACTATAGAAAAATTAAAGAATTTTGTATGAAATTTTCTAATTTTCTTTGTAAAATTAGTTCCATTTAATGAAACAAAATCTGTTAATTCTGTCTGTTCTGTTATAAGCGTTGCATGAGGTTCATCCACCAAGCTTATGATACAACCTGTTGTTGTTTTGCAGCACCACAATGAATAATCATTGTCAATACGATTTCTTGCCCTGTTATATCGAATAAGTTTGTGTCGTTCACGGACTCAGAAGTTTATCACTAGTAGTAATTAGGACAGTTTCGTTAAATTACCAATATTCAATTTAATGAAAAAACGAAATAAGGAGTGAGAAAAATTCAAAACTAGTCTCAGAGTTGCATTGCTGTAGTTTCTTCGAAGCACGTTGTAGAAATCTTAAAATTTCTCCACATTTGTGGAACCGGTATTGAGCAGGATAGCCAATGCTTACCAGTAGCCTTTCTTCTGGTTAGATCTTACACATAATTGTGTTAGAAAACTTTCGTTTTTTAGACAATTTTTAAATGTTTAGTGAAAACTACAGATATTTGAAAGACGGCTTCACTATCTATCGCCTTGTTCATTATTTTCAAACTGATCGATGCAAAATGGTGCTAGCAGTTTTATAACTTTTTGTCTTCCTCAATTAATTAATCATCACTGAATCTCTTTTTGTTAACTTTCACGCCGGATACTGTTCAGGTTTCTTGAAGATACACCATATCTTGTCTTACGTTTTCAAAATAATTTTAGAAACTGTTATGCTCTGTGAATCGTCGTGCATTCATGTAAATTTGTCATGATCTAATGAACGATTATGGCCTAAATCTTTCGTAATAGAGATCAAAGGTTCACATCAGGAGTGGAGCTGCTGCATGTTTTTTTCAAACAAACTAAAAACTGAATTTTTACGACCTGTAACAATGCATCTTTGAAAGTTTCAAACCAAAAGTCAGTTTGATTTACTTGCAAATAAAAGCAGTGCCTATTGTTTTAACAAAAGATAATTCACCTTGTTGCGAACATTGATGAAATTTTTTTCCGAGATAGGCGAAAGTAGGAAACTAGAAAGTTAGGAAAGCAGGAAAGCTTTTGAAGCAAGATGATCTACTGCTATGGAAGGGATGAGATCATTGTGGATAGTGGGGTGGCGGTAGGTTGAGAGTGAATAATCAAAGAATATTTAGGTCAGCCTCGTTAGCCTCCCGTGAGGAGGAGAGGATTTATCACAACTACATACTACTAGAGTCAACGTATACGTTGGATCTGGTAGTACGCTATACACCTAACGCGTATACGCTATTTATCACTCATAATGAGCACATGTAACTTCATGTTACATGCGGGAAGATGTTACATATGAATATTCGTTTAGCGTCGAAAATTCGTGTTCTCTGAAAAGTTTGGAAAATTGATAACTGAAAATTCCCTAAAAATTCGCGAAATGCTTATACTTTCCTGCTTTCCGAACTTCCTACTTTTTTTTGAAACCCGTCGTGATTATAATGCCTGATAGAGAAGAATATTGTGCTACTGACACTAAAAATTACTTTCTGTTTCTTAACCTAGGTTTCAAAAAATGTTGTCTTAATATTTTCTGACTTGCTGGTTTCTTTATTGAAGTTTGAACCCTGTTTTTGCTTTATCTCATTTTCAGTTTGTGGCAAATGCAAATTCTCCACCACGCCTGCGTAGTACAATAGTAAATTCACTTTTTTAAATCTCTATACTATTGCTTAATATACCATGCGCAAAATGTGCTTTAGACTACACTATCTAACGGTCACTTGCACTTTCTCATCATTTGGCATAATACACAACTTTAAGAACGTACGACACATTAAATATTTTTACTGGATTGTTCTTGTTTATTATTATTTTATCCTAGAGTTTCGATACCATTTTGTCCATGTTATTTTTGTCTTATTTTTCTACCTTGTATTGTCAATATTCTATTGTATTTATAGTCAAGGAATAACCGGTTATTATCTCCTTCGTGGTTATCATAAATATTGTTTTATTGAACAATATTCATCTCGAACAATAATTAAGGATACATTTCATGGTCACACCTGTCTATTTTTAGACAATTTGTTAAATCATAAATGATCCAATAACATTCGCATACATTAAATAAATTGAAAATTAATGTTAAAAAATAGAAACATTCATAATGGATTAATTCTCAACGGATATGTAATTTATATAAATATTTTATCAATATTAGATCCTATTAATAATTAAAAACTTCTACAGTTAACATTTTATTATGTATTTTTCCATTCAAATAGAAATATGTCAAATAAGTTTAACGTTGCCTAGGATTAGAGAATAATTTTTTGTTTTTCATTAAATATTTTGTGTACAATGTTGATAGATCCAAATAATTTTAAGTCTCATATATCTGTTGAAACTTTGAGTTCTGAATTAGCTAATGTATTGTCGAATTATTTAATTTTACAAGGAAACTCTACACAACATTGTATTCATCAAAGTAAATTAAAAAATATTCTCTCATTACCTACTGAAAATGAGACGAAATGCAGTATTTCTTCTCACACATGTCGGCGGATAGCACGTCCTGTTCAAATTAAGCAAACTTCACTTTTTCAACAACAGAAAATAATTGAAAAACATTTTAAAGCAAAAATTAAAACAGTTCACATTCAACAATGTAAATTGTTCGAATTAAATAAATCTTTACGTGTTGATCCGTTGAGCGATAATTTCAATGATCAGTTAAATTGTCTACCTCTGAAACGATCACAATCGGTCGCTTTGGTGACTTTGACTAGAAACGGATATATCAAAAGTACACCAAGCGTTAACATAAGCGCAAAAAAATCCAATAAAAACGTTAGCAAATCAAAGAAGAACAGAAGATCATCGGAAGATAAGGCCAGGTATGTGTACAACTTGAATACTATGCATTTTATTTATACTATTTTATGCTATACTATGTATTTTCATTGAATTTTGAGAAAGATTACTTTCGATAATAATTCACACTCTATTTTTAACGCGTTTAGGTCCTTTGAGTAAAAAAGAAGGTTCACAATGCCCTACTAGTGCTGTGATGTTTGCCATTTGGAGAAAAATCAAAAATACATAAGAAAATATATGCGTGTTTCACTTCTTTTTAAATAGTATTTTCAAGGTCTTTACCAAAAATAAACTTTCGGTACTTTTTAGGAAAACAACGAAAAAGAAGAAGAAAAAAGGGGGAGAAGGCGAGAAAATCAAGCAACTAAAAGAGAAACATCATGCATTAGTTGAGGAAAATTCTCCTTTTCGAACAATTGATGAGATAAAGGATGTGAACACTATTCCATTGCTAACAACGGAAAAACCCGATTTAATATCGGCAAATAGTGATCATCGGCTTGTTGAGGAATCAATTAAAGAACTAAAACAGGTGAATGCAAAAGAAAGAAAGAAAATTTATGAACTTGTTGAAAAACAAAACTCAATCGATAATTATGAAAAGAAAATAATAGGACCATTATCTCAGACTCCTCAAACAGAATTCCCCGCTTATATCCTAGAACAAAAACCCCATAGAAAGTCTTTGACTATGAAAACAGATCAATATCATTATAAAAATAAATATTCTTCGATTGCATTTGATAATAATTCGATTGTGACTGGTGACGATGGTGATCAACATAGAAATCTTTCTGTCAGTTCTCAATGTTTAAATCAAATTCAAACAGTTTATAGACAAAAACCGAAATTTAGATTCGATTATGTTAGTATAAATAATTTTCCAAATAAATTAAATGTAAAAGAAATATTTGTTGCTAATGAAGGAAAAAATAAAAAATTGAAATTAAAACGAGACAATATTATTTATTGTCCAAAAACTTCACAATCAAAATTTCGAAAATGTTGTGGTATTAATCATGATCTATTAATGGATGCATGGAAGATTCTTGAAGGTTTTTTTACAATTAAACGTCATGTACCATCTGATGTCATTAATGTTTCATCAATTCAACGAACATTAGATGATCAAAAATTTCCAATAACAAAAGAAAATATTCGTAAAAGATACGTTAAACAGTACAAAAATAAATATTTTAAATCATTCGGTTTAGAAAGTTTAAAAGGACAATTATTTGATACGATCAATGATTTAGCAGATTATAAACGAATGATTGATACACATATTGAATGACGAATATAGTTTGAGAATAATATTCACAGTATTATTCATTCTAATATGCTATGTCAATGATGACATGATATAAAACTTTTTTCTAATGAATAATTTTGACGTCATTTGTTCGTATTAAGACGACGTGGATTGAAACTTGTCACCAAAATTCTTATCATAATCCATCTGTTGATTTGTCTATGTCTATTCTTTTTTATTGATTTATTCAATATTTTTTCCAGGTAATTTTGTCTATTATGTATCACTCAAATAGTCAACAATTAATAAAAATTGTCATTGTTGATTAATTCTACTTTTTTTTCTTTTTTTTAGTTTTTACATGCTTTCATTAAATGATATGATCGTAAGATGATCGGATAAAATGCTTATCTTTAAATAAAAAAAGAAAAGACGAATATATTACTAACGAATATGAGAAACATGTAATTAATTTAATACACTATGACATCGATCTTTCACAATGTGT